CGACTTCATGTTTGTGACTTTGCTCCTTTCTCAATTGTTCAGAACGTGCATTAAACACTAGGGTATGGTAAGAAGAGAAAATTCTAAATAATGAACCAACACTTCAAGACCTTGCAGTATATATGTCGCAAATATAACGGAGCATTCGAATTACTATCTGATAGGTGTGTCAACTGTCTTTGCAAACTCCAGCTGAAACTCAATTTATTCTAATGTGTGACCAATTGCCTAACCAAGTTCGTTTGCCCAGGACAAGAATCTGCTCCAAAATTTGCAAATTCAGCATACAACAAATAAGGCATCCTAAGTACGCAAATTTCGAACTCAGAAGAATCTAAAGAAGGTTAACATGACAGGAGCTGCTAGTCCTTAAGTTTTTACAAGTTGAACTAATCATCAAGGTACAACTTGAATGTTTCTTTTGGTGTGTAAATGTAAACCAGAATTCCCTAGCTCAAAAGGCAAACGCTTTTGAGTTAATAAATGCATTAATGCAACAACAGTAGCCATTTTGCCAGAATCTCAGATCCAAAAAAGCAAGGAAACCTACCATGTTATGATATTTTTTGTGCAACATTTTATGATTTCTCCCATTTAGCAAAGACAATCAAAATACTGGGTAACAACACTTCACGTGACATGTACAATCACCTTATTGCTCTGAACTAGTATTTTGCCAGTTATTCAGGACATTTAGATTGTTGTGACCTACACATAAGCTGACTCATGGGCTGCATGTCGAAATTAAGTGGCCATTCGGAAGAAAACAACTCTTCTAGAATCTCTTTCTTACATGCAATCTTTTTTGCCAATTAATTTGCTGGGTCAAGTTTCCAAAAGCCTCATCTAAAGAAAACATATCCACAAAATGTCGCTAAACTAAATTGTGGTATTTAAGTATTATCGTACCTTCAAAGGAAGCCTCCTTTCTCTTCCTGATGGGTTGATTAGACCCTTCTTCTTCAATGACTCTAGGGATACCTCTTCTCCCTCTTGGAATCCTGCATCCTCTATGTCTTTCAGATTTACTGGGACATATTTTGGTAGTCCAGCATGCATACCTTCATTTAGGTGAAAATTACAAACCTTAGTAATAAAACTGGAAGCAGTACAACAAGGCACATAGAAGGACAAGAAGAAGAAGAACCTAATTAAAGATCAAGCATCCAATGACCTGTTTCTTGATCTCAACACCAAAAAGAATAGAAAACTATGCATCAAACATACAAAAGTTGAAAGGTGATGCCAAAAAGATGAAAGGTGAAACTAAACATCATAAAGATGATGCCAAAAACACATGCAAGTTCAGTTTGGTTACCAAGCATGAAAGGTTCAAGTAAGATGACTTCCCAACTCTCATTTCATTACAACATAAAAAAAATCTTCTGCTTCTGCCAAGCTATTGAACATCAGTTACAAGCTGTGATCCTACACTAGTTAGAGATGAAGTTTTTACGAGCATGAAGCTTAACCTAAATAACCCACTCGCTACATTAAGTTTTGAAGTATTTAAACCTTGTCCAGATTCAGGATCTACAGTTGTAAGTCCACTAACACTAATATTTGTTGCATTCATGCCCACAGAAGAATAACAAGTACAGGATTAACCACATGAATCCCATTTTTGCACTCTGTTTGACGTACAGAATCTATCAGGTTAATCAGTTTGAAGTTCTATAACTCAATTCTCAGACCAAGCCAAGTCCTTGTCAAGCAAATATACATGACATCTATACTTGAACTCCATGGATAAATTCTACAAAAGTCATGCTGCTGAATAAGACAAATATGATCGAGTAAAACACATTTTCACAAACACAGAATATACAAATTGCTTCCGAAAAGGTGAACTCCATCCATAGTCTCCTGCAAAAGTAAACATGAAGCTAAAGTTCACAAAATCATTCAAAAGCTTCCAACTTTACAAATGGCCATCAAATAACCGATATGAAACTACAAGATAAACCTTTCTTGGTAACATTAATAAAAAAAAAAAAAGAAACAAGAAACTTCAATGAATCACCTCCAGCAATGCCTCTAAGCTTAGGAATCCTTCGGTACAACGGCATTTGACCGCCTTCGAACCCCTTTCGGACACCTGGACCAGACCTTGATTTCTGACCCCTCATCCCAAATCCACAGCTACCCCCTTGCCCAGCAGAGTGACCTCTACCCTTTCTCTTCGCTTTCTTTGTAGACCCAGGTTGAGGACCTAAATTATTCAACCGAAATCGAAAGCTAGAGATACCAGAAGCAGCTTGAATTGAAGAAGAAGAAGAGTCCGCATAAGCTTTGTTCAACACTATCAATGGTGCTCTTTGCTTAGTCCCAGTTTTATCAGTAATTCTTACACTAGACGGAAAAACAAAACTTGGGTTTGCCTTAAAATTTCTCACATTCCCCTGTAAATATTTCAAAATGAGCAACAAGAAGAAAAAAGGGATTCTTGATTTTTGTCTAAAGTACTAAAGAAATTGACAAGAAGTACAATTTTGATTAGGAATTGTCTTAGAAAGGATGAATACGAATTGAGATATATGGGGGGCAGAGTATTGTTTACCTTGAATGGCGAAGAGGGATGGTGGTGGACGGCTGATGAAGTTCTTGTAGGAGTTGGGGAGGAGAGGGAGAGGAGAGCAGCCATGGAGAGGCTTGTTTTAGCTCAGTTTATCCTAAATGTTTTCCTAGCGGATAGGGGTCAATGTCTTTTCACTCCGGCTCCGGCTGAGAAAGGTTAGCCATTTTGTATTTTGACCTTTTTGAGTTTTGTGTAATTAAACTTGTTTAATTTTGTTTTGGGAAAATTGCACAAATCATCCCTCACATGTTAACAATGTAAAAATTTAGTCCCTAAGAATGAAAACAAGCATTTTTAGTCCATTATAAACAAAAAATGATCAATTTTGATCCCTGTTAGCTTTTTCGTGTGAATTCTTGACGGACCCAGTCATGTGAACATCACGTGACCAACTTTTGAGGGACAAAAAGGGCAAGTCACTCGGATCTTGACCAAAATGTAGAGGACCAGTATCTTTCTTCCTTCAAAGCATTTCAAATCCCTAAATTTCTTTGAAATTGTCATGGGAGAACCACCAAACTGTAGCTGCGGTATACCAGCCACAGTGAAGATTTCGTGGACAGCTAAGAATCCAGGAAAGAAATTCTATGGATGTGCCTATTATGAAGTAAGTTTTTAATTCAGAATATTTTGTTTTCCTTTTTTGGAGAATCTGAGCTCCGTTCTCCATGACTAGCATAATAATGGCGGAGGCGGCCGTGGGTACTTCAAATGGCATGAAACCAGCGGCTATGAGAGGTGCAATAAACTGGTGAGGCACACATAAAGGTTAACAAAGAAGGTGAAAGATTTGGAGATTGATGTGGAGAAAAGAAAACTCAAAGAGCGCAGAATGAATATGATACTATTTATGGTCATTGTTGCTGTAATCTATCAATGGCTTTAGAAGAGTAATTTGGACGAAATTGACATGCCTAATGCTGGCAATGACCTCAACCTCGTGCATGAAAGTGGCATCCCCGAAAGCAGAACAATTCTTGAACCTCTTCAATGCCGCTTCAGAGCCATCAGGCAATACACCCTTGTACACATTCCCATACCCTCCTCTTCCAATTATGTTCTTCCTCGAAAAATTCTTGGTGGCAGCCTTAATTTTATCAAGTGTGAACCTAACTAAATTAGTGCTCCCACTTATTGAATCCAACCTAGAAGCGGCGGGGCCAGAACCTGAGTTTGCCTGGCTTAATTTCCATCTTTCGCTGGCTTTTATTTTCCTTTTCCTTCTTTGACGGCAGAACCAAAGCCCAGAGTAATTTGGCACTAGCAATGCCCCTTTTATCCCTCAAAAGTTGGTCACATAATGTTCACATGACTGGGTCCGTCAAGAATTCACACGAAAAAGCTAACAGGGACCAAATTTGATCATTTTTTGTTTGTAATGGACTAAAAATGCTCGTTTTCGTTCTCAGGGACTAAATTTTCACATCGTTAATATGTGAGGAATGATTTGTACAATTTTCCCTTTTGTTTTGATTATGAATGAGAAAAAAAGATGATACTAGCATATGGTTAGAATTTTTGTCATATTGAAAAAATTTGAGTCATGTGACGAGATATAACAAACTTTATCAAAGTGATAATCCACTATAAAATTAAGGTGTTAACTGTTTAAATACCCAATTTTGATATGAATTTGAAGTATGAAATACACACACACATATTAGCTTATATTTTTTTCTTCATAGATAAATGTAAGAAGTACATCCAATATATATGATCCTTGTGTTGAAAAAAAAATGATCCTTGTGTTGAATGTCAAAAATAAAATGAAGATAAATTTGAGTTATGATTTTCTGGTGCTTTAAACTACTTTTAAGAATCATACTTAATTGTCTCTAATCTGAACAAGTTAAGCCAAGTGTAACGGGAAGGGTAAAACAACAAAGGATAATAATTAACAATTTTTTTGTAATAAAAAATCAATTTCAAATTACCAATTATAATATAGCCATTGCACATCCTGCTTAGAGATACATTTATGTTGTGATATATTGCACTAATATCTCATTTCCTCTTAAATTTTTTAATTGAAATGACTGCTCTAAATTTTGTTTAAAGATTTGATCCTCAAGTAATTAATAGTAAAAGAGGAACTCAATGTTTGCATGCTGAGTTGAGGTGATCCAAATGGTGTGGATGCATGTGAGATTCACCCAACTCTTGGGGTAAGTGATAAATATTGACATCTTTCACTTCTATTTCTTGGCTGCTATATTAGGATATAGTGTAAATGGTACAAATTGTTTGTCTCTCTATGCTTGAGATTTTTTTTTTAAAAGAATTTATTCTTGAGTTAATTATAGAGCAATCAGCTGAACAGAAGAATTCGTATTCAACGATAATTTGCAATTCAAAGTAAAGGGTAGAAAATCAAGATGCAATCTTGCAAGAACATAAAATGAAATTAAAATTCTATCCCACAGAAATTATGTTCTGTGTGCACAGTCTATTACCTATACACAACAGATGTGATACATGAGAGTCGATCTATGGCTAACAATGGCGATAATGCTTTGCCAGCTACGACCGTGCCGAAAGGAAAAATCACCATGAGGCAAAAATCGTTGTCTGTTTATTTCTTCTTGTGATTTCTGAACCTTGAATCTTGGTTTTTGATTAACAAATGTTTTATGGTCAGTTACAGGGATTTTTCTTTTTTGATCAGAAGTCTACAGTTCTTTAAAGATGCAGAGGAGCTTCAATATAAGAGCAGCAGTTATCCAGAAGTTATTGAGCCAGCAGCTGTTGGTGTAGTGACTGGCAAGGCGTGGTTGCAATCTCCAACTTTTTCAAGAGCATTCTTGTGATCAGTGTTTGCTTCCTTGCTCTTTCCCCATAGAAGAATATACATACCAATTATAACAAGAATGGATCCCAAAATGCTGTCCAAAAACACGTACCAAAATCATTAGCAAAGAATAAAAATTGCCATGATTCTGAGGATTTATCACTAGTATGACATGGTCCTCCTAGGTATATTAGCCTGGTTCCATGTAAATAATGCTTCTTTAGGATGTCCATTTACATTCTTTTTTAGTATGATACACTCAATAGATTTTCAAGATCATATCTTTTCTTCCTTTTTTAGTATGATACAATCAATAGGCTTTCAAGATTATATCTTTTCTTTCACAGAGAGAGAAAGAGAGAGAGAGAGAGAATGAAAAAAGAAAAAAAGGAAAAGAAGTGGTGAAAATGTTAATTTGTTTGACCGTTAGTTTTAACGGGAACACTTTGATTCAAATTATGAGGGGTTATATGTAGCTTTTAAACTTGGAGGGGACAAGTGATAAAGTGCCAAACTACTAGGGGTAAAAGGTAATTTTTAGTAATACTAATGGCTAATGTTTGGTAAACTACCGGGGGTTATATATTGGTTTTACTTTTGGTAATACTAATGGCTTTTCTTTTTCCCCTTTTATGTATGATAATACAAGAACCACTTTTGAGAACTGATACAATGGTATATTGATCTGGAAATTCTTGACAAGAAAAAAAAGGGAGAAATGGGACTTGAGACCGATTTACCTTCCAAGATTTATCTGTTCATGAAGTAAGGAGACATCAAAGATAGCAACAAAGATTTGTAGGAAAGGACTAAATGCTGCAGTGAAAACAGGCCCCCTTTGTTTTACACACCATGACATGCTTACGTAGCCCAGACCTGATCCCACGATTCCCTGTATAGAATTAACAGCGATTGGCTTGTTTAGTTCTGCAATTCCTTCCTGATAGTTACATAAAGCTCAAAGAATGAATCAATAAGCAAAGAAACGAAAGTAACTAGAGGGTTCTTCAGAAATCAGAAGTTTGATAGTACATAACTTGCTTTTACCCCCTGCTTAAAACTACATGTTGATTAAAAACTACAAGATATGTTGATTAAAAACAGGTTCAATGCATGCTTACAGCATAAATGATAGTAAAAATCTGTAATGGTCCTTTGAGGGTCCAAGAATTGGGTCTTTCGACGGCAACACATAAGAGGGCTGATTGGATAGCACTGAAGAAACACAAAAGAGCTGTGCTGCAATACTGATAGGGGTAAGATTTTCCAATCCAAGACTGAATGAGAAACCATGAAGCCCACACGATGCCACCCAACGCAAGAAATATGGAACCAATAACCCAATTTTCGGTATCATGCTTGGCTTTCTGGAGCATTGCAGGGGATGATTTAGGCGCATTGATCACTGGCATTCCTTTGTACAGGATTAGAACTAAGGCTCCTCCAACACAAACTATTGTGCCCAGCACCTTTGCTCTTCCACTTGAAATTTTCAAGTTAACTTTCTCCTGCCTGCAAGATTTTGTGTAATTGATACATAATTCATAATTGGAGAGCCATCTAAAAGATTTGCTTACAAGTTACCTAAGTGGCAGGGCCAACATAAATGTAATCACTGGCACCACGTTAATGAAAGCGCAAGTGTATGTTGGTGACGTATATTTAAGCCCAACAAGGAAGAAGTATTGAGTAAGGGTTGCCCTGCAAACAACTCATTTCAATAACTGTCTGACATGAATTATACATAGGTAATTTTATCGTAAGCTATGGTGCCAAAATCGAGTAATTATGGCACAATACTTAAAACAGACTATGGCACTAACCCGAGTAGTCCACTGAAAAAAAGGCTGCATAATATGCCACAAGTGAGATGTTTCCAGCATTTCCTGCGATAAGAGTACTATATTTTACAACACATCGTACTTCTGTTGGAATAAAAAGTATATTTATTCTCAAGTCTAATTTGGATTGAGCTCAGCCAAATTTGGCGTGAGAAAAAGGCATTACTGCTCTAAACAGAAATATATTCAGTACTTGTCTCTGTACCTTTCCCAGAAACAGACAATGGGGATCAAGAAAATAGCAGAGATGGATTGCCTGTAAGTGATAAAGAGCAAATGGCTCATTCCCTGATTCAGGGCCTTCTTGAGTGATATGTTAACAATGGCCGAGGCAAAACTAACGCCCACCATCGCAACCACCGGTTTCCACTGATCAAAACAATCCCTTTTGGCCATTGCATAGATTAACTCTTGTCAATACTGAGAATATTATTTACTTAACAAGCTAATATAATGAAGTTCCCTGAAACATTTAGAATATGAAAATCAAATTCTCCTTATCAGATCAAATCTTGGAAACCTACTGTGCAATTTTATACTATTTTTAGCAACTATTCCCCCCCTTGGATTGGATCATTCCCATTTGATGGACATATGGAATCACAGAAGCTCATATTCCATCCGTCATCTACTCATGTCCTTACAGATGTTTCGTGCATTTTTTCACGTTTAGTTCTAATTTGTCCATCATGATTGAGAAGACTCTCGAGTCTGTCAAGTTCTTTTTTACACCGATTAATTATAGTGAATGGCAAGTACACTTTTCTTATGCATGGCATCTAATGCTCTTGGCCATGCAGACTAGTTCACTGTTTCTGCATATTTTTGGAAAGAACAATATGTCTAATCTCAAAACGCCAGGAGCTTCATTTCCCCCATATGAAATTAGCGGTGCCACTAAACGTAGCAAGGAAAAAGTGATTAAAAACATATTATCTTGTGGTGATGTTGACGAATATGGTGATTCCAAAACTATAGAAGCACATTAAACATGCAGCAGTATAACAATAACAATGGCGAGAACAGAAAGTGAGTTATTAATGAAATGGACAGTATATTTACATAATTAACAATTACAGCGGATTTTTGAAAATGGTTGACAGAATATTCTAATAAAATGGAAATAAATTAAGAGCAAGGAAGGAATATGGGAGATAAGCCATTTTTCAAAAAGTAGAGAAAATATTGGCAAAATTTGATAAGAATCTCGTGTCATTGGAGCTAGAGGTGCGAGCTCGAGGTCTAATTCGATTTGATTTGCCTTGCTCAAACTCAATCAAATCTAGCTCAAATGGATCTCAAGTGATATAAATTAGCTCTTTTTCAAAATGTAAAGAATATATTGGCAGAATTTGAAAAGAATCTCAAGTTAGTGGAGCTAGAGGTGTCAGCTTGAGCTCGAGATTGATTTGATTTGCCTAGCTCAAACTCGATCAAATCTAGCTCAAATGGATTTCAAGTAATGTAAATTTATATACATATTTATGTATATATTCTCTCCTCCATAAAAAATGTCATGTTTCTTTATTTTGGAATATCCTAAAATGCTTGTTATATTTAGGATTAATTTTTTTTATACTGACAGATAGACGCTGTCAGCGTTGAATAAATGACAACTATGCAAAACTTGAGTATGAAATTTAACTTTTGAACATATGTTAATGTCATGGATTCAAAGGTGATAGTATATATACAGTCAATATATATGGAATTTACTAATTACTAAAGTCAAAGTTATTTTTGATATTTTCTTCCAATCTTATCTTCTATTTTTTCTACATTTCATATTAAATTTAAACTTGAAATTTGAATTTTTGAGAGCAACTTTGGGAATAAATCCACAAATCTCCCCATCAAACCAATGTTTTTAAAAAATTGAAATCCCGAAATGTGATAAATAATTTGGGATAGAGGAAGTACACACACAAAAAATTAGTCTTACATATACTAATAATGTACGCATTAGCGGATATAGACACACGCATATTTTACAATCTTTCATGCTACATATGTTAAACTCAAATTCAAACTAGTCAAGCTACTTAAGCTGTTCGAATTTGGATAAAAAATTAGTCAACCTGTGTTTGATTTCAAACTTTGACGAGAAAACTCTTGAGTAACTCGATTTAGTTTCACTCATTCACACCCCAAACTCGAGGTCAAATACGGCATGCCCCAACTCCCACCCTTGGAGCGCGAGAACACTCTTTAGCTACGCTCCAGCTTGGGCTCAGTAACTTGTGAAGCATGGGCTCAAACATGTGGGCCCAGTGAGGAATTGTTCAGCACTTTTGTTGCCTTGACATGGCGAACGGTGGTTTGGGCTTGTATGGGAAGCCTGAGTTGTCTCTCGGTGCGATCTCTCAGCCCTCAGGCTTTCTGCCTTTGAACCGAAAACGAATTTTCCAAGGAAACTGGAGCTTTTGCTGATTCGTTAGACCAATTAAAGAGGGAAAAGAATCCCAGATTTCCTTTTTGTGGAAATTGGTGCACTCGAACCTTTAAAAAATTTTAAAAATTTTCTTTGGTTGTTCAAAGCTAGTGATACTGCCAGAGCAGAAATTTTGCTGCCAGAACTGTTTGACACAAAAACCTCAAATTGCCTTAAACTGGTCAATAGTCATATCTCCCTAGCTAGCCATATTGATCTCTGTCTTGTTTTATTCAATTGTGAAGTTTGATACCAAATGAACATGACCAAAATATCCCAAAAGGAATATCCACAGCAATTTATCCATCTCATCCATTTGCTTCGAATTTTATCATGGCAGTAAACATTTCCATTGTCGTTTGTTTCTAAAAAATTCTTAAATTAGAGAATGGCAATTCTAGCAACATATGTCGTGTACCCTCGACCAGGTTTTCTTGCCCAAACAAATTCATCATTCATTTATAAAGCCATAGATCCAGCAATGGTTGGAGAATTGGTTTTACTATTTTGGGACCAAAGTGTTTGATATCGTCCGATAAACTGTTTATAGTTGTAAGAAATCAAATATCATCAATGTATGCACTTCGTGTGTAACGTTCTCCTTTCTTGAACCCTTAACTAAAACTTGTAAGGAGAAGTCAAAGATGGCAACAAAAACTTAGCACGGTGAATAAAAATGGTCCTCTTTGTTTGGCACACCATGACATGCCCACGTAGCACAGACCTGCTCCCACAATTCCCCGAGATTTAATCAAAAGCTGCTTGTTTGATTCTGAAATTTATTCATCTTTCTTTACATAAAAGGGAAAAAAAAAAAGAATGCAAAAGTAAAGAAAAATTTCTCCTTTTCTTTGTCTCTCTTCCACATTTTTACACTAGTTATCTAATTATCTGCAACTATGAAAGCAGCAAAAGAAAAAAAATAGAAGAAAAACAGTTTGAAGGGTTAATCACAAAAACTCCCTTTAAGGTTTGGTCAAAATTGTAGTTTACCCGGTAACATTTATTTCTTCTCATTTCATCTTTATTTCAATCCACATCATCAAGTTGACTATTGAAGCATTTGAATTGACAAAATATCACTCATTGTAACCATTTAAAATTTGTGATGAAAATGCCCTTCTACATGATTTATAAGGAAAGACCCCATAACATTTTTTGGATGTTCAAATTATAAGTTTTTGTTTTTACTATAGAACAATTATTTTTTAATCTTTTAAATAAAACAAATTAAAGTAGTAATATTCTTTTTCTGCTTAGAATCGTCATGCATATAATTACTTTAAGTAGGTAGATGCCGAACTTTGTGAAAAAGGAATAGAAATATGTGTTGTACTGTAATCAAGGAAGAAAAGTACGTGATATGTTGCAAAATTTATCTTCATATATAAGATATAATGCATATGTGTGACTAGATTTGGTCGTGACCAGATCATGGGAGAGAGGAAATATGAGTGTGGGATGAGGGAAAGAGAGAATAGGAGGATGGTGGGGTAGAGAAGAAGAGAGCAAAAAAGAAGAGGGGAAGAGAAAGGAGAAGGATGTGGGAGAAAAGAGGGGAAGTGAAGCAAGGGGTGGAAGGAGAAAGTGGAAAAGAGAAAAGGAGGAGGGAGGGGATGGTGGAAGAGTAGGGGTGGCAATGAGACCGGTTACCCGCCCTGCGGGGGACTATTAGGGCGGGGGCCGGGGGGGAATTTTTCCCCCCCGTTTAGAAACCTTCCTCCGTCCCGCCACTCGTTTGAAACAAAAAAAATATATATATATATGTATATAATTATATATATCATGATATTATCAATTATACTACTAATTATGCATGTTTATTAATAAAAATTATTAATTATTTATACTAAATTTATTAATACATTTATATTAAATTCCTAACTACACTTAATACAATAACACTTTTTTTCTAAAAAAATACAATAATAATTTAGTGATTGTATTTGTATCAAAAGTAAAAACTTGATTATTTTAATTATATTTTTTATCATATTAGATTGTATTCAAATAACTTTTGTTTAATTATTTTTATAAGTTTCAATTGTGAAGTTACAATGAATAATAATTTGGTGATGTGTTGATATTTTAGTACTTGATTATTTGCTCAAATTTAATTATAATAAATTATATAATAATTTTTTTTAACCCCACGGGGAAAACGGGGCGGGGTAATTAATAGGCAATGGGGCGGAGAACGAGGGGAAGGATCCCCCGTCCCACCCCACCCTACCCTACCCCATTGCCACCCCTATGGAAGAGGTACTAGGAAATAAGAGGAAGGGTGGTGCGAGTGTGCATAGCAGCTGCAATGGAAGTAGAAAGGATGAGGAAGAGTGGTGGTGAAAAAAGAAAGACATGTGTGTCTTTGGGTATTTTGAAAGTTTTAAAAATAGAACTTAGACTGTTTTAACAAATAAATGTAGATAGAATTTTAACAAAACTTTGTCTTCTAAAAACAGGCCTAAAATCATGTGCCAAATAGACCTTACACTTTTCTTAAAAACTAGTAATTGAGAACCCTCTAAATGAATGCTTATTGAGCACCAATTAGCTAAACTGTTTAATAATTTTCTTATCAAAAAGCATTTTCAAAGGGTTAATTACATTTACCTCCCATGAGGTTTAACCAAATTACCATTTACTCCCTGAAATTTAGACAAACTACAAAAAGGTCCCTCAAATTGAAAGATGTATAACAGATACACCCCTCCTGTTAGTCTGTTGCTGTTGATTGTTAAGATTATAATGATGCCATCATACAAATTTAATGAAATGCGTAGATTGCCCCTAAACCCATAACCTTCCCCTTCCCTTCGTTGCTTTTCTTCAAAACCTAACCTACTCCATTTACCACCGTTGACATAACTATGGCAACAAAATCATCGACATATATTATCGATACCCACTTTCATGATCATTTTCTTGGTGAGCACGTTTTCACTGTCAAAATCATAATAAATTTATAGAAATTTAATTGCCTTCATCTCTATTATTCCCATAACAACCATCCTTTTAACTCCGTTATAAGCAGAGAAAAAACGCATTTGATAATATCAAACCCAATGACCAACTACAGATATAACCTAGAGTTGAAAAAATGATTATTTGGAACTCTAAATACCCGCATGAATCAAGTCAGATCCTGGTTGATAACCGTTAATTCCTCACTGCCAATTTGAGTGAGTTTGAGATTTTACTCGTCTCTGGATTGGTCGATGTGATTGTGGTAGTTGTAGAGAAGGGAAATACAAAAAACAAGATTATTGGCCAACAAAGGGTTACAGACTTGTAGAGACTCTTTTGTGGTGGATTGAGTGAACCTTTACATAGCTTCTATAAATTTTCTTTCATCGCTCAATTGTCGGTTTCCTTTTGTCACTCTACTTTTTTTTTTCATTCCTTTCTTTGCTTTTCACATTTTAATTTCTTTTTTGTTTTCTAGGCTTTCCTTCTTTCTTCATTTTCTTTCTTTTGTTCCTTTATGCACATATTTTTATCAAATTTGATTATTACATGCTTGGTTTTATTTTTTTCTTTTATACTGGTTAAAAATTGTTTTATTTAAGTAGCAAACTCTTAGTTTAATTTGTTATTATTGAAACCATCTTCGATTTTTTAACGGTAAGTTTTCTCTAACTACAAGTTTTTACAGAGAGGGTAAATATGACATTTTACTGCTTCTATTTAAGTGTCTTTGACGAGGTTACTTAAAAAGGAGGTACTTGTAATATTACCACACCACAGACATTTAATGGTAGTTTGGTCAAACCACAAAGGAGGTAGATGTAATTAACCCTTAAAAATTTGATGGAAATCAATAAGGGTTATTCAGACTTTAGGCTATTTCCATTACTTATAAGTGACAGAAGTTAGTGTGGGGGAGGAATCTGTTATTTGGTCAAATCTCAGGGATCGATTCGTTATTTGGTCAAACCTTAAGGGAGGTGAATGTAATTAACCCTTATAATTTAGCAACTAAAATCATGCTTAGAGGACAGCTATTTTCGTGGGATATATTCTTTGATCGAATTATATACACTTGTGATATATTGCACTAAGATCTTCATTTTCTGCTAACTTCCTTATTCAAATAACTGCTCTTGATTTTTTTTTTTTGAAAAAAAATTGATCATCAATTAATTAATGATGAAAGAGGAATTAAAAAGTTAATCTTTTCATGCCAAGTTGAGGGTTGATCCAAATTGTGTGGATGCATTTGAAATTCATTTATTTTATATCTGGGGTCCGATAAATATTCATATTTTTCTCTTCTATTTCATGGGTGCTGTTTAAGGAAATAGTAGTGTAATACAACGATCCATATTGTTTCTTTGTTTTAGAAGGGATTTAGACACCAAATCCGCAAATTCTCCGTGGTTGATTTAATTCTAGAGAAATTAAAAATGAATGCAAGAACTTTTGTGGTGGAGCCACAATTTGCATTTCAAAGTAGTGTGCAGAAAATTAGAGATATGCAATCTTCCAAGAGTATAATATGGAAATTGGTCTTGTTTGAATTGCTATTTTCTAAGACAATTTTTACATTTTTTTAAACACATTTCTCAATCATCTTTCTATTTTACATATATCAAACCGTTATAGTACATTTTTCTACCAAAACTCCAAAAAAAATTCTGTCCCACAAGTATTCTTTTTAGAGAATCTATTACATGCATACAACAGATGCAAAGTATCAAAGGCAATCTACGGCCAACAATGGAGATAATTCTTTGGCAGCTATAGTCTTGCCCAAAAAAAGAAAAAAAAAAGGAAAAAACACGATGGTGAAAAAATCATTATTGTTTCTTTATTTCTTCTTGTGATTTCTGAACCTTGAATCTTGGTTTCTGATCAAGAAATCTTTTGTATCCACGTAGATTTCCTCCTTTGATGGAAAATACCAAAATATACTGTCTCTTTACCAAATGTTGTCAGTTACTGGGATTTTTTTTTGGGGGTAAAAATTTCATGAGAAACCTACAATTCTTCAAAGATGCAGAGGAGCTTCAATATAAGACTTTAGTTATACAGAAGTTGTTGATCCGGCATCTATCGGCGTAGTGACTGACAAGGCGTGGTTGGTATCTCCAACTTTTTCTTGAACATTCCTGTTATCAGGCTCAAGGTCTCCTTCCTTGCTTTTTCCCCACAGGAGTACATACATACCAACGACAACAAGAACGGATCCCAGAATGCTGTCCAAAAACAAATGTTAAAATCATTAGCAAAGATCAAAATTATATTACGCTTCTTTTTAGCATATTATGCTTCTTTATGATTCCGAGGATGCATCACTAGCATGATATGATCCTTTGCAGGTACTTTAGCGTTGTTCCATATAAATTGTGCTTCTTTTTAGCATGTCGACTTATGCTCATGATTCAACTTTTTTGTTTTTCGGTTTTCTTCTTGTAATACTTTTGTGTTTCTTTATGTGTGATATTACATGATCCACTTTTCAGAACTGATACAATGGCATATATTGATCTGGAAATTCGTGACAAGGAAAAAGGAGTAATGAAACTTCAGACACAGGATTACCTTCCAAGATTTATCTGTTCATGAAGTAATGAGACATCGAAGATAGCAGCAAAAATTTGTATGAAAGGGCTAAATGCTGCAGTGAAAACAGGCCCCCGTTGTTTGACGCACCATGACATGCATACATAGCACAGACCTGATCCTACAGCTCCCTGTGCAGAATCACAACAACTAGTTTAGTTTCGTCTCAAATTCCTTTACTTTTGATTACATAAAGCGAAACTTAGTAGGCAAAGAAATGAAACTAGCTAGAGCGTTCTCCTCAGAAATCAACAGTTGATGTGAAAATCTCATAGCTGGACATTCTTTCTTTGAAGAGTTAAATGATCGCAACAGCAGGAGGATGGGTATTACTGTTTCTCCCCTGTTTAAAATCACAAATAGTGTTGATGAAGAACAGCTTGAATGTTCACTTACAGCGTAAACGATACTAGAAATCTGTAATGGTCCTTTGAGGGTCCAAGAATTCGGTCTTTCGATGATAGCACATAAGATGGCTGATTGGACAGCACTGCAGAAAGACAGCATGGCTGTGCTAGAATACTGATAAGGGTAATACTTTCCAATCCTAGCTTGAATTAGAAACCATGAAGCCCATAGAATGCCACCCAAAGCAAGAATTATCGAACCAATAACCCATTTTGCTGTGTCATGCTTGGCTTTCTGGAGCATTACAGGGGATGATTTAGGCGCGTTAATCACTGGCAATCCTTTGTACAGAATTAGAACTAAGGCTCCTCCAACACAAATTAGTGTGCCCAACACCTTTGCTCTTCCACTCGTGTTTTTCAAGTTAACTTTTTCCTGCCTGCAAGATTTTGCATAATAGATAAATTGTTCACTGTTGGAGAGCGATCCAAATGATGTGCTTAAAACTTACCTAAGTGGCAGGGCCAGGATGAATGTAAAAACTGGCGCCATATTAATGAAAGCACAAGTGTATGTTGCTGATGTATATTTAAGCCCGACAAGGAAGAAATATTGAGTAAGCGTGGCCCTGAGAAGTGCAAACAAGTTATTTCAAGAACTCATTCTTAGATGAATTATAAAAAGATTCACTTTATCCTAGAGCCAAAATCAAATAATTATACATGGCAAGATACTAAAGAAATGGGAGTGCGGGACACATATTATGGCACTAACCCAAGTAGTCCACCGAAAAAAAGACGACATAATATGCCACCTGTGAGATTGTTCCAGCATTTCCTGCAATAAGAGTACAATATTTCCGTATGTGATAATTCTGATGGAAGAAAAGTTTCTGGGTTCTAAAGTCTAATTTGAATTGAGCTCAGCCAATTTTGGCAAGAGAAAAAGCATTAATATTCTAAACACAGATATACTCGAGTTTTTTCCTCAGTACCTTTCCCAGAAATGGGCAAGGGGGGTCAAGAAAATGGTGGAGATGGACTGCCTGTAAGTGACGATGAGCAAATGGCTCATTCCCTGATTCAGAGCTTTCTTGAGACATATGTTAACAATAGCCAAAGCAAAACAAACGCCAAACATTGCAGCCACTGGTTTCCATTGATCAACACAATCCCTTTTGTCCATCGCCTCTGGTAAATGCTAAGAAGATTATTTGCTTGACAAACTTTTATAATGGTGTTCCCTGAAACATTTAGAATACGAAAATCTAATTCCCCTTATCAGATCAAATCTTGGATCAATTGACGGTGCAACGTTTTGCTTTTGCCCCTTTTAGTTGGATCATTTCCATTTACTAGATATATGGAACCACTGGATCTCATATTCCATGCATCATCATCCTATGACCTCACAGTCTTTTGCGCATTTTTTCCACATTTAATTCTGAGTTGTCTACAATGATTGATAAGACTCTCGATTCCTTCCATTTTTTTTTTCAATTAAAATTTGGAAATGACCAATCAGGCATACCTTTTCTTATGCAGGGCATCTAATGCTCTTTGGCCATGCAGACCAGTTCTCTGTTTCTGCACATTTCTGGAACCGGAATTAAGAATAATATGCCTTATCTCAAAAGTTGCAATTATCAGCGCTAGGAGCTTCTTGCCACATATAAATATCAGCGCTACTAATCCAAGCAAGGGAACAATGATTAAAATTACAGGATTGCACTAAACATGCAATAGCACATCAAATAACAATGGCGCCGTGAACAGAAAGTGAGGAGTATATTTGCCTTAGTGACAATTACAGCGGCTTTTTGAAAATGGTTGACAGAATAGTCTAGTAAAATGTAAATCGATTAAGAGCAAGGAAGGATCATGGGAGATAAGTTCATATTTGAAAAAGCAGAGGAAATACTTTTTATTCAGGTTTGTGGCCTGTGGAAGACAAAAACAATGGCCAAGCTGGAGCTTTTGTTCATTCGTAGACCGTTTGAGAGGGAAATGAAGATGGTTTGAAGGAATTCCTGATTTTCTTTTTGTTCAATTGGTGTATTCAGCCTTTAAGAAATTCAAAAAAAAAAAAAATCTTTAAGATAGTTCGAGCATATGCCAATCAGAGGTGTGATGCCAAATAAACATGACCCAAAAAAAATTCCGGCAACAATATATGGTACACTAAAATTTCTGGCCGAAACAAATTCATCATTCATGGCCCAGTAACGGTTTGCAGTTGTAAAAAATCCAATATCATCAATGTATGCATTTCGTCTGTAACATTCTCCTTTCTTGAACCCTTAACCAGGACCGTGCGAACTGGATATAAATGGAAAGTTTTATCATAGCTGCCTGTTGAAAAGCTTCTAAAATCTCATGCTTGTACAATTTTTATATAAATTACAAACTCACAATCTGTATCTACACAAAACTTTCCTTTTCTACCAAGATATCATCACATGGTAGAAGTAGCAATCCTGTATTTTTTTCCACCCAAAAGTTCTGTATTTTCCACTTCTTTTTTTTTTTAATCGACAAATATCTGCTGCATTCTGTAGTTTTCACTTGTACATTCAACACCGTTGCTGTAGTATGCAGAGGATATTTTTCTAACAAAAACAGAGTCCTTTCATTTCATGCAGAATTTGTTGAGCTGACAGCAGTTGGTGTAGTGACTGGCACAGAATTTGTTGGGCTGACAGCAGTTGGTGCAGTGACTGGCAAGGTGCGATCGCAATCTCCGTCTTTTTCTTGATTTGCTGGCGGAACATTCTTGTGAAGGTCTATTTCATTGCCTTTTCCCCACAGAAGAGTATACATTCCAATAACAACCAAAATGGATCCCAGAATGCTGTTCAAAACAAGTATGACGAATTATATGAGAGAAGAAAAAAAAATTGCCGGTGATCGCGAGGGAAAATCTCGATGTGACATGCTGCTGGCAGGTATGATTAACCTATATGTTAAATTTTTCGTGCAAATTAGGCCTTCTGATTTCGGAATGTTCTTGTGTCTGTTTGTGTTTGAGATTGAAAAATCACAAGTAGAACAAACAATTCAGGAGATGTAGATTACCTTCCGAGGCCTATCTGTTCATGAAGCAAGGAGGCATCAAAGATGATCACAAAAACTTGTATGAGAGGGCTAAATGCTGATGTAAAAACAGGTCCTCTTTCTTTCACACACCATGACATTCCCACATAGCCTAGACCTGATCCCACGATTCCCTGAGGGTTCAGAAAAAATAGCTTGATTGATTCTGAAATTTATCTGTGTTTGTTTACATGCAAGAAGGAAAAGAAAGAATGCAAAGGCCAAGAAAAAGAACCTATGTTTCTGTGTCTCTCTTCCTTGTTTTACTAGTTGTTTTTAACGGTGAAAACAGCTAAAAAACATTGAAGGAAAAAAGAAAAAAGAAAGAAAGAGTTGAATCTACTTACCGCGAATATGAGACTCGATATCTGAATTGATCCTTTGAGAGCCCATGAAATGTGTCTGTCAATGACAAGACACAGAATGCCTGACTGGATGGCGCTGAAGAAGGAAAACATGGCCGTGCTAGAATATTGATAGGGGTACATGTTGCCAATCCGAGCTTGCATCACAAACCATGAAGCCCACAAAAAATTACCTATAGGTGGAAATGTGGAACCAATTATGCTAGCCCAATTTATCCTCCCATTCTTTGCTTTCTCAAGCAAAATGGGTGGTGATTTAGGAGCATTCAATACAATCCTTCCTTTGTATAGTATCAGAACTAAAGCTCCTCCAACACAGATTAGTGTGCCTAACACCTTAACCCTTCCACTTTTCTTTTTCATGTCCAATTTCTCCTGCCTGCAAGAGATTAATCTTAGTGACATATGCAGTTGAGAGATTAGGGGTACAAAAAATTGTAGTCTTGTGAATTTTGTGCTTGAACTCACCGAAGCAGCAGTGCCAAAACAAATGTAAATACAGGGATCATATTGCTGAAAGCAGCAGAATATGTTGCTGATGTATATTTGAGTCCAGTGAGGAAGACATATTGAGTAAGTGTGACCCTGCAAACAACTTGATCAATTCAAAAATTGATTCTTTTGCTTGAATGGTAACAAATTATAGAAAAAAAAAAAGTAAATTTATCCAATTTTGTCTGTAAAAGATTGGCCTGAGATATATAGCTAGGACAACTGATACAAATTATTAATGCCACTTACCCTACCAGTGCATTGCAAAATAGACCACACAATATGACAGCTGTGATATTCTTCCAGTATTTCCTGCAACAAAGTAAATTAGGATTTATCAGCTCACCCAAATTTGGCGATAGAAATGAAAATAGTGGAACTTGAAATAGAGAAAAATGTTATATTCATATTGGTACCTCTCCCGGAAATAGGCAATGGGGACCAAGAAAATAAGGGAGATGGATTGCCTGTAAGTGACAATTAGCAAATTGCTCATGCCCTCAGTCAGTACCTTCTTCATAGCTACATTAACGACTGCAAAAGCAAAATAAACTCCCAGCATTGCAGCCACAGGTTTCCACTCATTAAACACCATTTTAGTCATTGATGAAAATGACAAAGAAGAATCAGTATCGCTAGCTTATATGACTGACTTCCCTGGAACGCGATGAATTTAAATATCAAATTGCCCTTATCAGATGTGCAATATTACTTTTTAATCCCTTTTGCTGGATCATAATGAACCAGCGAGTTCATATTCCATGCATCATCCTTTTGTAACGCAACAGTTTTGATGCGTTCTTTTCACATTCCATTGTTCCCTTTCCATGATATTTGAGCGGTTCCCTAGCCTTCTTTGTACATTAACAATTTACTTAAGAATAATTTGCGTCAATGTGGGAATTTCTTGAAAGTATATTGGAATTGACCAAACGAAAATAACTTTTTGTTGCGCATGGCATCTAATACTACTTCTTTTGGAAATTGGGACCTCTTCTGTTCTTCTGCGCCCATTTTCTTTTTCGATATTGGAAATAAAGAACATTGTGTCTAATCTCAAAAGTTCCTTACAACTACCATGTGTTGGAGCTCCAGCAAAAGGAAAATAGTAAAATACATGTGTGGGTTCCGTCTGTAACAGTTGGAGAATATGGGCTATAGCTTCAGGATTCTGTAGGAGCCTGAGCTGTGTCTTTTGGTCTGAGGAGACAGCATCCATTGTTACGAAAATTCGGTCAGAGGACATGTAATGGGCTTGGCCTGATGTGTTATAGTTTACTGAGGTTCAGTTAGAGGCTGTTGCACTGGGCTTGGCCTGATTTAGAACCGTAATGTTGAAAGCCCAAATGGAAAAGAAAGAAAGCGGGGAAAAGTAAAAACCAAAAAAGAGCAAAGAAATAAAAGAAATTCAGCGTGAAGAGATTAAAATGAGTAAAAAGAAAAACTCAAGCGATGCTCTGTTTAAACAGTTGAGCGTAGTTAGACGCTCTGTCAAATTTTGTAGCAAAACCGCACTTTTGCTCATTTGATGGATCTTTTTTTTTGGAGGCAGGTAAAGTGAAAGAATTCCCGAAGAGAGATGATCCATTGACCTTTAAAGAAATTGAACGGTTCCCTTTCATCGCCCAAAAGGAAATACCAACATGAAGTTTGAATACCAAATAAAGTTGGTCCTTCAAAACTCTTTATTTTTTTTTGGAAACTAATTATGAAGAAATGGTCGTTATGAAAATCATCGAAGAATTCTCCACATATGCATTAAATCTTATGAAGAAATATTGCTTAGAGAATAATTTGCTAATTTCAAAGAAAAATGTAGGGTACATACGTATAACAAATTTGGAATTCTACCAATTTCGTCGTCATCAAGATCTGCATTTGTTTTCTGATGATTAAATAAGGGATCGTGCTGCAGTGACGACAAGTCGCCTCACGAAATACTGAAATAATGCTAGTTAATTACTGGTAGTTGTCTAAATTACCCACCTTTAGCAACAATTTTGGTCCTTTAGCGTCTTTTCTGATTCCATTAAAATAATGATTATAAATTCTATGTAAGTTTTTTTTTTTTTAACTAAAATGGCTGGTTTGTTCACTAAGCTAGTAACTTTAATCATTCATCAAATTTACCAGTTTATTTATAAAACTTACCATTTTTCAACAAAAACTTACCATAATTTGAATCAAACTTACTAATTATAATTGTTCTAACTTTCTTAAGTAAAATGGTAAGTTTGTGAAATAAAGTAGTAAGTTTGGACAATTCACCAATTTACCATTTTATTTGTAAAACTGATGGCTCCGCTTGGATTAGCTGTTTTTGGA